GCAACGTGAGTTCGAGTACAGTTACTGTTAAGGAATATCACAAAAGTCAAACAGTTGATCGAAGCTAGAAGAGGTCTTAAAAATCTCCTAATAAATTTGAAGAAATTCGATATTAATTGAACGCAATCGACTTCTCGACAATTAACAAAGTGGCTCGTTTGTGCTCATTTCTTCCAACGAAAAAGTTGGCGGAATTAGAGATTCAAAAGGAATACAAGATTAGTTGTATTCGGAAAATTGAAACAAAATACGGAACGAGAGCAATCGTCGACATTGAAAATAGCTTCTCGACATTTTTACCAGCGAGGGTGTCTAAAGTCTTGAAAGACGATAACAATTTATTTCAAAACATGGTGCGTGCTGCCGACGAAGATCGACTCCTCATGCGCTGTCTCGGTGGACAGTATAATCAGATTGAATTTCAATGTTTGTAATCGGGCTGGCAAGAGGCTCATGGGCAGGTCCGGTTGCAGGTACAGGGCGGGTCTATGACTATGCTGATATGGGAATTGAGTGGTCGGAAAACTTACATCATCCCTCCGTGGTGGTCGCCTCCAGGGAGGAGCAGAAGCAGGAGAGTATTACGCCGAAGGACATGGATACGAAACAGAAACAGGCAGAGGAGAAACAGAAGGCGGTCACGGAAGTGATTGTCAAGAACATAGCCACAAAGGCAGTGGAAGAAAAAGCAAAGGAGGAGGTGAAGAAAGTTATCCCTGCAGAGGTGGCAAAGGCGGTAGTTGTGGCGCCATCAGATGGGGCGAGCAATGTATCTTCGCCGACGAGCAAGAAGCAGCCAGTAACTGCTGTCACTGGAGAGGCTACTGGACTGAGCAAGGTTGGAAAGAAGTATTTGAGACGGCTAGAAAGCACCACTTAAAATTTCGACTAGACAAGTGTTTTTTCGTTCAAACGGAGATAACGTATTTGGGATATGTGATAAATAAGAATGGTGTTCGTCCTAGTAAAGAGAATGTCGATTCAGTAATGCATTATCCGGTTCCGCGAAATGCGAAGGAGGTCCATCGATTCATCGGCTTAGCGAGTTATTTCAGGCGATTCATACCTAATTTCTCAATAATCGCAAAACCATTGTACGATCTCATAAAAAAAAAACGTTCCATTCAAATTCGGAGCAGAAGAGCTCGATGTTTTTGAAACCTTAAAGCAAGCATTGTCCTCTGAACCGATTTTAGCAATCTTTTCGCCACACCTCGAGACCGAGTTGCATTGTGATGCAAGCGCGAGTGGTTACGGAGCGATACTATTACAAAAACAGAGTGACAAAATATTTAGACCAGCGCTCCAGGATCTGTTTACCAGAGTCGTGCTCGCAGTCGCTGTGGACCCATCTTCTACCCTCAGGATAACGTTTATGATATACCGTTGGTAAATAAAAAAGTATTAGGATTAATGAAGGATGAAAATAATGGAAAAATTATGATTGAATTTGTAGGATTGCGAGCAAAATTATACTC